AAACGTAATGAAAACGTTCTGTTTTTAAAACAAATTGTGATGGACGGGTGATGAAAATGGGTTTTCTGGATACTGTACAATAATGTGGAACGGAAGAGATCATGGGGCAAGAGAAATGAACCACCACCAACCACACCAAAGGCCAGTCTTCATCCAAAGAAGTTGATGTGTATTTGGTGGGATTGGAAGGGAGTCCTCTATTATGAGTTCCATCTGGAAAACCAAATGATTAATTCCAACAAGTACTGCTCCCAATTAGACCAACTGAAAGCAGCACTCAACGAAAAGCATCCAGAATTAGCCAACAGAAAACACATAATCTTCCATCAGGATAATGCAAGACCACATGTTTCTTTGATGACCAGGCAAAAGCTGTTACAGCTTGGCTGGGAAGTTCTGATTCATCTTCCATATTCACCAGACATTGCACCTTTGGATTTCCATTTATTTTAGTCTTTACAAAATTCTCTTAATGGAAAAATTTCAATTCCCTGGAAGACTGTAAAAGGTACCTGGAACAGTTCTTTGCTCAAAAAGATAAAAAGTTTTGAGAAGATGAAATTATGAAGTTGCCTGAAAAATGGCAAAATGTAGTGGAACAAAAGGGTGAATACGTTGTTCAATAAAGTTCTTGGTGAAATGAAAAATGTGTCTTTTACTTTAACTTAAAACCGAAGGCACTTTTTGGCCAACCCAATATATAAAGGGAGTGGAAATACACCATTGTAAGTGTTTTACAAGTGTTAGGTGGTGTTACTATCATCAAATATACACGGAAGATAAGATAGGAAGTTTTAACAGATTCAGTTCATTGGCTGTCCAGGATCCAATCCCTGCTTATTCATCAGGGGGTGGGGTGGGGGGGTGGGGGGGTGGGGGGGTCAGACAAACATCTGCCCCAGAAGATATAGAGTTAAGGCCTATTAGCTGGATGAACCTGGGAATACACATCAAGCCTGTGGGCATCATAGTTTCTCTCCTGGGTTTACTCCAGCCACCTCCAGATGGTCCACTTGCCTCTAATCTTAGCATCTTTAATCCATTTTCTGCAAAACAGTCACAATGACCTTTTAAAAAATGCAATGTCTTTAGACTTCTCGGCTGCTAGTGACAGAGTACTTAGTACCCAACTGGTACTAATTCAGCCAAAAACAACTGTATAAACGAACAAAATATGTCACACAAGTATTTTAAGTCATGCACAACTAGGCAATTGTTTTTTGTTATGGGGGCACATTCTTGATCTGTAGAAATTACCTAAACTAAAGATCAGATAGAGAAATAGGCTGAGAAACAAGTGAACACTTTATCAGTGATCTGTGAGAAAATACTAGTGATCAAATGTGTGTGGTTAAGACACGGAAAAATGATAAAATATTTGAAGAAATAATTCTTGAAAATTTCCAAAATTTGGTGAAGAAATTATGTTTTGTATCCAAGAATCTCAAAATCAAAGCAACATAAATGTGAAGAAAATATGTAGGTACACAACAGAAAAACTTCAAAACCTAAACATAAAGAGAAAAATTTTAAAGCAGCCAGAGGGTTTTCTGAGGCTAAGCACTGAGGTGTGGTGGATCATCTACTCATATTAAAAAAGAGAAAACAAAACAACAGCAAAATAACTGATTTAACTGGATAAAGTTGTCTTTAAAATATTATTAAGTTTCTGGATATTGCCTGAAGGGCATATCACAAAGTGAAAAACATACATTCAAGAAAATTTAAACTAAGAATGGCCAGAGTCTGAAATACGAATGCACTACTTTCCCCTTCCCTCACCCACAGATCTTTGCTGTGGGCATGGTAATCTGAGCAAAGTCAAACCAGCAAATGGGCTCCATTCCCCCATTTCAGAATTCTGCATTTTTACCTCAGGAGGGGCAGGACACTGAAATTTCTCATTTCTGCCTGCCCGGGGTTGCAGAAGCTACTTCTTACAGACATGACAATGAATATCCCCACCCAGACAGTACACATGGGATGAAAGCTGTACTCCTGGTACATTGTGTCAAGATTATTTGAGTCCAAGCCGAGTAGTATCATCAAAAACTGTGAAGACTGCTCTGGTTTCTACTCCAACATGTAAAAAAGTCAGAAACTGTCAGTCCCATCTATACAACAATGAAGAAAATCTAACAAAGTGAACAACACTTCTAAGACAACAGAGGTCACTGGGAGAACAAATGCCCCAAGAAAGGTGAATACAGAGAAACACAGCTTGCCAAGAGAAGAAGCTGCTAGAGCCAGAAACTGGTAGGTAAATATAATCAAACTGCTGGAGCTTGACTGTGGACTAGCTTGAGATTTAGAAACTCCCGTGAGCCTATTCTTAGGGGAAATGCCACACATTCATGAGTTTTACCTCAAGGAGCCCCACCAAGTTCTCCTGATGACGGTCAGAGAAAAATCCCCTCGTGTTTCCAGCAGGGAGGGGGAAAAGGAGCCATTTTTAATATATCCAGAGCATACTGTTCTGTGCCTGTTCTTAAGAGAAATTACTCTGAGTTAATCTAACTCATGTAGGGGAAGGAAAACACTCAACGCCAAGCCTCCCTGTTTCTCACACCTACAGGAAACAAAAAGCTGAGAAGCACTTGAGAAGGATACATCCCAGGGGCACAGGTCAAGTAAAAGACTGATAGGTAATCATAGACTGCTTCCCCTCCCCCCACACCTATCAACTCATTAACAGGATTCTTGCATAAAAGAGGATTACAGCTGAAAGAACTGCAAGATTTAGACTCTGAGGAGGAAATTCTAGGGAAACTCAAAGACAATCAAGAACAGAAAAACAAGCATATTAGAGGAAATTGATTTAGACACCTACAGGTATAGCAAACAGTGAACATGCAGTGAACAGGCAGCATAAATCTTACCAAGATAAACATTAACCCTCCCACTGAAGTCCTATTTATCTTAGTTTCTGGACCCAATAAATCATGTCTGCCTTTCAACAAAAAATTACAATGTATCAGAAGAGAAGAAAAAAACACAGTATGAAGATACAAAGCAAGCAAGAGAACGAGACTTAGATATGACAGATTTGGGAATTATCAGATGGAATTTAAAAATATGATTAATATGCTAAAACCTCTCTTGCAAAAATGGACAACATGCAAGAACAAATGGACATTAGAAGAACAGAGATTAAAATTCTAGGAAAGAACCTAAGGGAAAAACTAGTAATTAAAAACAGTGCAGCAGAAATGAAGATACCTTTGATGGGCTCCCAAGTAGCCTGGACACAGTAGAGGAACAATAAATGAACTTCAAGACGGAAACATCAGAAATTGAAATGCAAGAGGAAAAAATGGAAGAAAAAAAAAGGACAAAACACCTACGGAATGTGAGAACAATTACAAAGGAAGGAACGTACATATAATTAGGATTCCAGAAGGAGAAAAAAGAAACAAATTAGGGGAGTTCCCTGGTGGTCCAGTATTAGGACTCGGCACTTTCTGCCATGGCCTGGGTTCAATCCCTGGTCAGGGAATTAAGATCCCGCAAGCCGCGTGGATCTTAACAAAAAATAAACAACAAAAAATAATGGCTGAATTTTTCAAAATTAGTGACACACTCCCACCACAGATCCAGGAGGCCAGAGAATACCAGGCCATATATAAATAAAAATATCTAGATATATCCTGTTCAAGCATCCAGCATACGGAGTATTATTTGAAGGCTACTTGAATTACTTTTAAGTGTGTACTGTACTCTGGGGCAACCACTAAAGCTTTAAAAGTTATAACTGATATGCCAAGAAGAAAGAAAATGCAATCATATAAAATACACAGTTAAAATTATATAAGGAAGAAAAAGAGAAGAATGAAAAAGTACAATGAATAGACAATATTTTAAAACATGACAGATATATGTGAATTATCTAAATGTACTAATGAAAAAACAATCTCAGAGTGGATTTAAAAAAGACCCAAAATGCTACCTGTACAAAACCCCTATGAATATAAAAAGAAATATATTAAAATAAAGGGATGAAGGAAAAAATGTCATACTAACACAAACCAAAAGAAAACTAGAGTAGCTTTATTACTTTTAGACAAAGCCAACTTTAAGAAAGGAAAGTTATCAGGAATAAAGAGGAGCATTACATAACGATAAAGGAGTAAAGACAAGAAGGAGATATAACAGTCCTTAAGAGTGTGTGCCTAAAAACAGATCATCCAAATTGGTGAGGCAAGAACTGATAACAATTATAGTCTGAGATTTCAACAAACTTCCATTTGTACTTCATGGATTCATCAGTCAAAACAAGGACATAGCAGAACTGAGCAGCACCATCAGTCAATGGGATCTAATCAACATTTATAGAATACTTTATTCTACAACAGCAGAATACACATTTTTAAGCTCAGATAGCACTTTGATTGAGATAGGAAACAGTCTGGGTCAGAAAGCACAATTCAACAAATTTAAGAGCAGAAATCATACAAAACATTTTCACATATGACAAGACAATGAAGCTAGTCATTAATAAATCATGGCTATAAATATCAGAATATTTTCAGATTGAACAACACATTTCTAAATAACGTGTGGGTCAAAAAACTCCCAGATAATTTTAAAATATTTTGAACTAAAAGAGAAGGAAAATACAACTTCTTTTTCTGTTTACAGGGTAAATAGTGAGTACCACTGTTCACAGCAACTCCTCGATTGAATCAGATTTGTTCTCCAAACAACTGTGCTTATGACTTTTGCATAGTGAATCTAATGTTCACACTAAATGCACTGCTGACCTTGAGACAATAAAAGTCTTGCAGAAAACACTGTTTGGCTTCTTTCTTGAAGAGGCAATTCAGTAACAATAGTCTTCCTTATATACGCTGACCAGAAGACAGTAAGAAAAAATAGGAACATATGTTTTTTCTTTTTCTTGTGATAAGTGGGCCTCTCACTGTTGTGGCCTCTCCCGTTGCAGAGCACAGGCTCCGGACGTGCAGGCTCGGTGGCCATGGCTCACGGGCGCAGCTGCTCCGCAGCACGTGGGATCTTCCTGCACCGGGGCATGAACCCGTGTCCCCTGCATCAGCAGGCGGACTGTCAACCACTGCGCCACCAGGGAAGCCCAGAACATACGTATTTTAATTAACCAAATGTATCCTCTAACATATTTACATGATGATGGTTTTTGCATAAAAAGTGCATAATTCCCACAACCCTCATGTTGGATTCCAGTACAATTAAATTGAAGGTAGTCTTTGGGGAGAGAAGTTTTCCTCATCCATTACCTTCACAGGAATTTTTTTCTGTGTAAATTTCTAACACCCATTGAGTAGTCTGGTGGAAAGACTGTTCATAAGTGATTAATTTCAAGGATTTACCACTTGTGTGAGTCCTCTAATGTCCAATGAGGGCTGAAATCTGGTTGAAACACTATCCATACACAATACACATGAGAGATTTCTCTGTGAGTTTTGTTGATTGATGGTTGATTTCTCAAAGGGAAAATTTCCAGGTTTATTATATTCATTGATCTTCCCCTGAGTCCTCTGATGCTGCACTTCCAGTCAAAGTTTCCCCATATCCATTACATTCATAGGGTTTCCCCCACATGGGGACTGACGTACTCTGAGGTTGTTTGTAGATGAAAACGTTCCCACGTTCATTAATAATAGGATTTCTCCCCAGTGTGAGTTCTCTGAAGTGTTTAGGACTGGCATTTGGCTAAAAGCTTTTTCACATTCAACCCATTCACAGGGTTTCTCCCGTGTGAATTCTATGATGCAGAGGTAGACGAGAATTTCTCTTGAAGGACTTTCCACCCTTGTTACACTCCTAAGGTTTCTGTCCTGTGTGAATTCTCTGATGCCAAGTGAAGTGAAACTTCCTAGAGAGAGATATTTCACACGTATTACATTCATAGGGTTTCTCTCATGTGTGGACCCTCTGATGTAACCTGAGGTTGACTTTATAGGTGAAAACTTTCCGACATTCATTACATCCATAGGGTTTCTCCCCAGTGTGAATTCTCTGATGTCTACTTAGTAATGACTTCCAGTTAAAAGCCTTCCCACATTGAATACATACATAGGGTTTCTCCCCTGTATGATTTCTCTGATGCTCAATGAGGTTAGACTTTCTATAGAAGGACTTTCCACATTTGTTACACTCATAGGGTTTCTCCCCTGTGTGACTTCTCTCATGCTCAGTGAGGTTAGTCTTTCTATAGAAGGACTTTCCACATTTGTTACACTCATAGGGTTTCTCCCCTGTGTGACTTCTCTGATGCTCAGTGAGGTAAGACTTTGTATAGAAGGATTTTCCACATTTGTTACACTCATAGGGTTTCTCCCCTGTGTGACTTCTCTGATGCAGAATGAGGTAAGATTTTCTATAGAAGGATTTTCTACATCTGTTACACTCATAGGGTTTCTCCCCAGTGTGAATTCTGTGATGCTCAGTGAGGTAACTCTTTCTATGGAAGGATTTTCCACATTTATTACAATCATAGGGTTTCTCCCCTGTGTGACTTCTCTGATGATCACTGAGGTAACTTTTTCTATTGAAGGATTTTCCACATTTATTACACTCGTAGGGTTTCTCTCCCGTGTGAGTACGCTGATGTATTTTTAGGGATGACTTATGTCTAAAAGTTTTCCCACATTTATTACAGTCATAGGCTTTCTCCCCTGTGTGAATTCTCTGATGCACAATGAGGTATGACTTCCTACAGACAGATTTTCCACACTCACCACATTCATAGCGTTTCGCCCCTGTGTGACGTCTCTGATGTTTTCTGAGGTATGATATGTGGGTAAAAGCTTTCCCACATTCAGTACATTCATGGCGTTTCTCCCCTGCGTGACTTTTCTGATGCTCAGTGAGGTGAGAATTTCTATAGAACGCTTTTCCACATTTACTACACTCATAGGGTTTCTCCCCTGTGTGAGTTCTCTGATGTCTTTTTAGGGTTGATTTATGGCCATAAGCTTTCCCACATTCAATACATTCATAGGGTTTCTCCCCTATGCAACTTCTCTGATGTTCTCTGAGGTATGACATGTGGGTAAAAGTTTTCTCACATTCATTGCATGCATAAGGTCTCTCCCCACTATGAGTTCTCTGATGTCCAATGAGGTATGACTTCCTAGAGAAGGATTTTCCACATTCTTCATAGGGTTTCACACTCATTTGAGTTCTCTGATGTACAGTAAAGGTAGTCTGAGGGTATAAGGTTTGCCAAAATATGGTATCATCACAGAAGCTCCTCTTTGTGTCAAGTTTCTGGGATATGGTAAGGGCTGCATTAGGGCTTAAGTTACTTCCAATTTCAAAGGGCTTTATTTCTGAGTGAGTGCTCTGATGTTCTCTGCAGTGTGACTTCTGGCTGAAAGTTTTCTCACCTGTGTCTGTATTCTGAAGTTGAGTAAAAAAGTCTTGCTGCAAATATTTTCCTTGATTTGCCAGGCTTTTCTCTAAGAGGTTATCAAGTTTGCAGTCTTATAAAATAAAGAAAATAAAAATGCCTTATAAGCCTTAAAACACATTTCTTATAGGATGCAGCCTTTACATATATGCCCTATATTGTATTTGACTCTTTTTCTAGCCACCACATCTTCCCAAAATAAATAAATTCCAAATGTATGTTTCCTATACTCCTTGAGAAAAAAGGACACCAAAATTATGATGATTGTCTCTATATAGCTGGCATTTTAAAAATAAGGAAATGAACAGTAAATAGCTAATAGAGGACTCTCAAAAGTGATTCACTTGGGCAACTGGAAAATGAGACACTGGGATGACTGATTATTAGCAGTAAGTAGAACTACAAGAAAAATCAGTCAGTAAGGGTTTTCAAACAATATATCAGAGAAGGGATTGGACTGAGGAAGAATATCAATGTCTAGGTCTTTATATTTCCAACTAAAGATTATGATGGTAGGAACTTATTAGTCTACAAGCTTCCAGCTGGAGTTCCCTCTGTTCTATTCTACACATCAACACTGAAATAAATTCATAATTGAACTGATTTTTTTCTGATTAAAGAAACAATTCTATAGCTCAAGCTCAAATCCTCCTGGAGTTATTCACAGAATTACAAATGTACAAGAAGGGTAAAACCATATATTGACCTGGAATGAATTCACTTCTATATGATGGCTCTGATGCCTTAGTTTATTATATCAGTGCTGGTAAACAACAAACTTCTCTTGAATATCAAATCACAAGTTTCCCCTTTCATTATGATCACTCACTCTCCTGAAACTAGTTTTTTTGTTTTGTTTTTGCTTTTTGCCACACTGCACTACATGCAGGATCTTAGTTCCCTGACCAGGGATCAAACCTGTGCCCCCTGCAGTCTTAACTACTGGACCACCAAGGAATTCCCCCTAAAACTAGTCCTAACCAGGACTAATCTCTATGTAGGATCTCAGTTCCCTGACCAGGGATCAAACCTGTGCCCCCTGCAGTCTTAACCACTGGACCACCAAGGAATTCCCCCTAAAACTAGTCTTAACCAGGACTAATCTCTATGTAAGCATTCCATCTACTTCTGAACATACAGCTTCTATTAACTGAGATCCTTTAATATCACGTTTCAACCTGTTTCCAAAAGCCTATTTAGAAATGTACAGTTTATTCATTTCTCATAAAAGTTTCTTTCATATATTTGACTGCTCTTACCTAGGTTATTTTCACTTTCTACATAAAATGCCAGCCCTATGCTAAAACCTAAGATGGCACTGAACACACTGCTCTAAATACAACAGATAAAAAGAGTTAAGTGGCATCATTTTGGAAAATAACCTTTTTTACCAACTTCAGGCACATGAGATATTCTAGCTATCATTCCACAACTCCATGATATTTTCCAATCTAACCTGGCCAGGCTATTTGTCTCTCGTCAGTGGTTCCTTAACAACAATAATATTTTTCATTTTCAACAATTATCTTCTACCCACATCCTTTCTCTACATAACCCTACATCCCAACTTAAGGACTAACAATTAATCTAGATATTTTTTAAGGCAATGCTATTCTCTAAACTTGACCAAGAAAATACCTTCTAAGAGGTTCCCACCAGTAATTTACACTCTCACAATACATGCTGCCTATACCATTTATCTTAACAATGAATACCTGGAGAGCACACATGCACATTGAGGCACACATTTTTAAGTAAATTACCATCATTCAATCAGGATGCATCTTAAAATTTATGGCATGTCCACAGTTTTTTAGCTATCCCTAAAATAATGGTTTGTCTCTCAACTGATACCAGTTTAGATCCTATAAAATATATTTCATGCAGCTTTGTGCTCCTAAATCTGGAACAGAACTCTCATTCTGTGATTATTTTTGCACCCCTCTGTGATATAAAATAAATCAGTTGTCTTTAAAAGTGCAGTATGCTTCAGAGCTACCCAGACCACTCTTGGTTACACTGGCTCAGGTTCAATGCCAATATACAGGATGATTCAGAAGTCAAAGAAATTTGACTGGTGAATCGATAAACATGAAATACCTCTCACCTACCTGGCTCTATTGTCAACCCTAATGTAACTGTACAAAATTAATTATATATTACATCCTAGAGGAGGGAAGAATAGGGAATATTCTTTTTTGGTGCATTACAATACACCAAATTATTTATACACACACACATTAGTTTTACGTATATCTTAATTTGTGTATGTGTGTGTTTTAACATTCTTATTCCAAATAATGAGGCACTATTCAGTTTATTATGTTTCTGACCATTATTTGTATGGCATTTTTCTACCTATAAACATCTTCTGCTTGATTTCATATGCACAATTTTCATTTTAGATTCATAGACCATGATTGCCCTACAGTGTACCATGTTCCGTTTTATTGCTACATCATGATTTAGTTTTAAGTTCACTTGTGAATAAGTATTGAGGTTCTTTGCAGATTTGAGCTTTTTATAAATGTTGTATGAAGAAAGTCTTATTTTTGTCTCCCAGTGAAAAAGTGTAGGAAACTCTAGAAGATAAATCTGGGAGTGAAACTGCTGAGTCATGGGGAACAGGTATGTTAAACTTTTTTTTTTTTTTTAATATTTATTTATTTGGCTGTGCCAGGTCTTAGTTGCAGCATGCGAGATCTTTGTTGTGGCGTGTGGGATCTTCAGTTGTGGCATGCTGGATCTTTTAGTTGTGGCATGTGAACTCTTAGTTGTGGCATGTGGGACCTAGCTCCCCGATCAGGGATTGAACCCAGGTCCCCTGCATTGGGAGCAGAGTCTTAGCCACTAGACCACCAGGGAAGTCCCAGGCATGTTAAACTTTAAAGAAAATGCTAATCTGTTTTCCCAAATACTTACACCAATTAATTCTGCTACCTGCCTTGTAGATGCTTCCCTACATGATATCCTCATACTCTTGGAGTCATAAGACCTCTTCATGTTTGAGAATTGAGTGGGTATAAAATCATACTATATGAGATCCAATCTGAATTTGTACTTCCCACATTACCCAAATTGAGCACTTTTTCTCATAAATTCCATTTATTCCCTTCTTTGAGAAATACCTGTTTATGGACTTTGACTTTTTTTTTTAATGGGTTGCTTGACTTTTTACTCACAATTTCAGTAGTTTAACACTTAACATACATTTGAGTCCCAAGTTTTTGTCTCAGGTGCCGAATCAGTGAATGAAATATTTTAAATATCTGCTCTCAGAGATCTTATATTCCAGTGGAAAGAGACAGACAGAAAACAAAATACCTGGCAATTGTATATTAGATGATGAGTGGTTGGGAGAAAAATAAAACAGAAGAAAGGACAGGGGTGACATTTTAAATATAATAGTCACAGAAGGCCATACTAAGAAGATACTTGTCTTGAGATCTGAATTCTTTATCTATTATAGAAACAAATCCTTTCTGAAGTACATTTGTAACAAATATCATCTCTCACTGTATGATCTGTCTCCTCACATTTATAAAAATATGAAATTTAGCATAAATATACATACAACTATTCTGTCCATTATAATAATACCACAGAGTGACCACCCACGGAACTATCATCCTCATCAAGAAATAGAATATGACTGTATCAGGGATACTTCAGGACTTTCTTAAGCACAAGTTTCTGCATCATTACAGGTCACGTCACTCATAAAATTTAGAGTAATTGTTTGCTCTCATTTCTGTACTGTTTTACAACTCTCTTTTAGAAGCCTTAAGAATTTGGACGTTTAGAAAAAATATATCCAATATGTGGAGGAGGAAGATGTAACAAAAGCGATGAGATATAATCCTGCTGTTTTTCTCATCGTGAAAAACTAGGAACCAAAATATATGTTTTTAAAATCAAGTAATAGTCATTTTTGATATTCAAAAGCTAAAAATTAAGAGATTATAACAGAAACTAAAGTTGGGTGTTAAAATATGAGACAGAAGAGAAAATAAGCATTTTAGTCTCATAACTGGTTTCATATCAGGTGATTATCAGATACTGTCTAAATAAATAGATGATTAAGCCATTACATGAGATTATAATTTTTTTTTGTGGCCACACCACGTGGCACGTGGGACCTTTGTTCCCTGATGAGGGACCAAACCCATGCCCCCTACAGTGGAAGCACGGAGTCTTAACCACTAGACTGCCAGGGAAGTCCTGAGATTACAATTTTTAAGGTCACTACTTAAGCCAAAGTACAACTTAACTAAATTACCAGGAGAAAAATACACTTATTTTAAAAAGCAAAGGAAACAGGCCTATTACCGAAAAGAGTTTCTGTAACATTATACATAAGTTTGCATTATAGAAGTAATGGACAGTCAATCAATATGAATGGGCTAAGGTCAACTATTAAAAGAAAATGCTATTAGACTGTATCAGAGGCATACCTAAAATTAATTTGGAAAATTAGAAATAAAAAATTGTAAATGAAGTAAACATTTAAAAATAATTCAGGACTCACTGATCTTAGTTAAGGTTCAATTCAATTTTTCAAAGTTAAATTCAAGGTTTAGCATAATGCCAAACAAAGCCTCATGAGTATTATTTTGAAATTTGATCAGCTCATTATTAAAACATGTCATAAAGGTGCTATAATCAATATGAAATGGTACTAGGGTAGAGATAATTAAACAGGCTAGAGAAACAATAGAGAAACCAGGAGCAAACACATAATTTACTGACTCTTGATTTCTATCTAAGGTAGCAGTGCATAAAACTGAAGAAAATTACCCACATGAAAGATCAGTAAATTTTATGTTTGAATGGAAATGCTTATATCATTCATATTTAAAGTTACTATCTACGTAGGTGGATTTCTGTCTTCCATTTTACTGTCTGCAAAGTGAGAACATCAATGTGCTTATATTTTATCCCTTTTCTTACACACTCCCTTACTACATCATATTAGGTCTACTCTTTCTAAACTTCAAGATATAAGTCCTCAAAAGGGGAAGCATTTAAACAATTTCCTGGTGTCCACCTCTAAGTGACCACTTTGGATCCTATTTCCCCTGGAGACCTGTCTACTGTACTCAATAACTCACCTGCATGGCTCTTGCTTAGAATCTCTTCCTCTAACAACAATGGATCATCTTGCTCCAACTTGACGATTACATCTGGTTTTGTTAAACAATACCCTGCAAATGGGAAATAATTTAGGATTTGGATCAGCTGCATTGGCTTTAATGCATATGAATGTAAAGGAAGGAATAGTTCTAGGGAGTAGCATAGTTATGGTGCTCATTTGACCTTTCCTTTGGAGAGGAAACTACAATGTTGTTTTTTCTGAATCTAAAAAGAAATTGATCTCCTTAAACCCCTGAATCATAAGGATACATAACATTGAGTCTACATGTACAGAGGTTTAAATAAGGTTCTGCATAGGAACTTCCAGTCATGGCCATGATGGTGTAAGAGGAATAATAGTACATGCCAAACAACTGAAAACCATACAAAATCAATGAAATAATGACCTTTAGGCATTACACACTGGACAATGGTACTGGAAGACAAGGATCTCTGAGAGAAGAGAAGAAATAGAATTTCTAGGTTATGGTACAGGAAGAAGACACCGAATCACAGCCTGCTGATCTCAGTAACTACAGAAGGCAATGCTGGGAGCTCAGGAAAGCCAAAAAAATTAGAATTTCTGGAGTAAAATATTTCAGAGGAAAGAGGTACACTGAGAGAGAAGCAGGAAGCACTAACAGAAAGGTCACCTTGAATAAAATTTGTATATTCATATAAGAAAACTTCCATCAGTGGAGGAAAAGAACCCAAATGCAATAGGTGGAAAAATTCCCAAAGCGTAAACACAGACAGGATGTTTAGAAAGAGTGGAAAGATCTTCTAATACATGTGGAATACACGAGGTATTAGACACTGTTCACAAAAGAGTATTATTGTCCCACTACTGTGACCAAATTAGTCCTAAAGAATGCTCTAGACCTCAAATAACAAGCAAACATTGAATTAATTTAGTTAATTTGCTTAATTACAAGCCAGCACTTAATGGATTAAAGTTACTCCCAAGTCATTTACTACTGCCCCCCCAGGAATGCCCTAAAGTATTTAAACAAACACAAGACAATCTAGCAGCCAACAGTGTAAAATTCACAGTATGCATGCAGCACACTATCAAAACAGACCAAGTATGAAAAGAAGGAAAACATGATTCATGACAAGGAGACAAGTCAATCAATGGGACAGAAGAAGAAATGTAACCTGAGATTAAATTAGCCTCCAAGGACGTTAAAACTGCTATTATTAATACACTCCACATGTTAATGAAGATAGAGAAAACAGGAACATGGTGAGAAAACAAAGTTATAAAAAAAAGTCACAAATTGGAAATAAGGGAAGGAAAATATATCACCTGGGGGAAAAAACACTGAAAGACTCCAAAAGATTTTGTGCTATGGATCACCAATATTTACATTAGAAATAAAAACTGACACAGATCTCTTTAATAAGACATCTAGGTTCTCCCATGCTCCTGCTCTATTCGTTCTATCATGTCCGGCCACGCAGTTACTTGAAAACTCCATCGTTTACTTGTGAATGGTGAAAAAGGCTAATATCTTAGTGTCATCATCACAATTTTTGACCTCAAAGGCACTCTGAAACGTCACTGGCCTCCTAGGTCAAAGGACTAAACGATCTTAATAAACCTGCCACATTCAGTGCCTCCAAGAATTCCTCATAAATTTCAATGGGCACCCGGCCAACTGAGCACTCTATTAAGTTGTTGTTCTGGGATGATATATGAAAGATTGCACTTCTAACCAATTCCAAGATGATTCAAAAGTCTTTAATATTAGAATAGCAGACATTTCTGTTCCCCTTTGATTTATTCTAAATGGCAGCTTAAAAAAAAAGTCAATATGCCCAAACATAAGATTTTCAAACTGTTTATACTTATCTTACACATTCAGTGTATCATTCACCTTACCAACTTTCTCAGCTAAAAAAAGGATCCAAAATTAAATATTAAGTTTCAATAGCCCCCAAATCAAATGAGGCTCCTCTTCTCTCCCCAAACCAGTTATTTGGAATTTTGAGCAAACTCAAACAGAACTCAGAGCGCTAGTATATATCGAAAAATATAACGACTTTTTAAGACAAACAAATAAATAAATAAACCCACTGCCAGCTGACCTGATCTAAAAGAAAAGTTAAAATAAGTCATTTAGATTTAAACAAATGATACAAAGTGTAAATTTGAATCTACACAAAGAAATAAAGAGAACTGTAAATGCACGATACGTAAATAAAATATTGTTCTCATTTTAAAAACATATTGAAGTGAAAATAACACTATAAGAAGATAATGCATTATGGGGATTACAAGATATGTAGAAATAAAATCAATAACAACAAGAACACAAAGGATGAAAGAAAGTGAAAATAGTCTGTTGTAATATTCTTATGACATAGTTGAAGTAACAAGTATTACTTGAAGGTAGACTGATACTTCAGAGATGTATATTTAGCAACCACTAGAAAACAAAAAGTACATTTCATAGAAGCCAAAAGTGGGTAAAAGAGATTCATTAAAAATAAGCACAAGAAATTCCCTGGCAGTCCAGTGGTTAAGACTCTGTGCTTCCACTGCAGAGGACGTGGGTTTGGTCCCTGGTAGGGGAACTAAGATCCTGCATGCCACATGGTGTGGCCAAAAATTAAAAAACAAAAAGCACAGAGAAGCCAGGGAAAAGGAAAGAAAAATAAAGACAGAAAAAAATAGAAGGTATCAACCACAAAGATAACATTAAATATAAGTGATGTGAACATTTCCCTAAAACACAAAAATTGTCAGAGTGAATAAAATCAAGACAACCTTGCTGTCTCTTAGAAACCAACTGTGAATATAAAGACAAAGATAGGTTAGAAATAAAAGGACAGAGAAAAGTATATATCATACGAAGCACACAAGAAGCAAATGAAAGTCTGACTGACTATACAGTACCAAACAAAATTCAGAGAAAGAAATATTACCAGGGATATCAATAAAAACTTCAAAACGCTAAAAGAGAAAATCCACCAAGAGGATGTAATAACCCTAAGTGGTTTACTACTTAAAAACAGAGTTTCAAAATACACGAAGCAAATCCTATTAAAAAGGAAAGAAGATATAAATAAGTTAGACTTGGATACTCACTCACATTCCTTTCTCAATATTTAATAGAACAAGTAGATAAGATATTAAAAGGATACAGAAGCTTTAAGCAATACAATCAGCCCACTGGAACTAATCCCTATCTAGAAAAAATACCATTTTCAGTCACATATGGAACATTCCCCAGGATCATATGTTAGGCCCTAAGACAAATTTCAATACATTTAATAAGACTGAATCATGCATGAAATATTATCCAGAGTAACACACAAAAAAGGATATAAAAATTGTAACAGTAAGAAATTATGAAACAAATATTTAGAAAGTAAACAAATTCTACAAAACCAATGGATCAAACAGGAAATTACCAGGCATTTAAAGAAATATCTTGGATTAAATGAAAATAAAAACATAACATCAAAACTTGTGTGATGCAGCTAAAGCAGTTTTCAAAGAAAAATATAGCGTCTTATGCTTAATTAAAAAAGTAAAACCAAGTCTCAATTCATGAGCTTAAATTTTATCATAAAACAGCAAAGAAAGGAAGGGCAAGGTAAACCAAATCAGTATAGAAAACCCTGAGGATTCCAAAAATACATAAAGCTCCGAAAGCTAATAACCAGGTTCAACAAGGTTGCAGAATACAAGGAAATATGCAAAACCCAGTTGTATTTCCATGCACTAGCAATGAACAAGCCTAAAATGAAAAATAAAAACAATTTCATTTAAAAGAGCATCAAAAAGAATACAATACTTAAAATAACTTTAACAAAAGTATAAAATTTGACCACTTAAATCTACAGAATATCATTATAATAAATTTTAAAAGTCCTAAATAAATAGAAAGACAGATAATCTCAATGTTCATGGATCAGAAGAGTTAATGTTGTCAAGATGGCAATACTCCAGAAATTGAGCTACAGATTCAATGGAACCACTAACAAAATCACAGCTTTCTTTTACAGAAATTGACAAAGAAAAAAACTGGAGAGCTCACACTTTTCAATTACTCTGTTTACAGAAAACACTACTGTTTCTCATTTATATTATTGTCTCTACTCACAGAATACTTATGTATTCTCAATACTACTTCACTGCTGGTCACTGAGTGTGCAGAGGTTTTTCCCACTACCAAGCAACTCTGCAACACCAGCAAGGTGTTCTACATTCAATTCAGTTCTGACATATCCACTTGAAGTCTGCATCAGATCTCACAGGCTAGGGGTTGAGTCCACAAGACTGCCTCTCCTCACACTTCAGATGCCAATTACAAGCCCAGGTTACTACCTGTGCTACTGACCAACTAGCTATAAATGGGAGGTTCCCACATCCTGGTCCTCAGGTTTAATTTGCTAGAATGGCTCACAGAGCTCAACAGTTTGCTTACTATTAATAGGTTGCCAGGTTTATTACAAAGCATACAACTCAGAAACAGCCAGACAAAAAAGCTGCATAGGGCAAAGCTTCCATGCCCTGTCCAGGAGCATCAGCCTCCCACCACCTACAAGTGTTCACCAACAACAAAGCTCTCTGAACCCCACAGTTCAGACATTTTTATGGAGACTTGATTATATAGGAATAATTATTATTAGTAATTAAGTCAATCTCCAGCCCTGCCCCCTCCCTCCCTGCAGGTCAGGGGACGGGCCTGAAAGTCCCAACCCTCTAGTCACTTGATTGGCATTCTTGGCAACAAGCCTATATCCTCAGGGGGTTTCCAAAAGTCACCTCAGTAACATGAACTCAGGCATGGTTGAAAGGGGCTTGCTATGAGTAAGACACCTCGATCTCTCGTATCACTTAAGAAATTGCCAGGGTTTTAGAACTCTGTGCCAGGAACAGGGATTAAGACCAAATATATCTTTCTTATTATAAATCACAATACCATACTATACTATTAAGGTAGTACTGGTGTAAGAATAGACACATTAAGAATAAAAACAGAGAACAATGGAGAATTGAGAGGCCAGAAATAAACCCTTAAATTTACGGACAGTGGTTTCACCAGGAGTAGATTTCATCACAAGAAACCACTTTCTTTGCTTCTTCAAGAAGCAACTCTTCATCCATTAAATTTTTATCATGCGATTGAAGCAATTCAAACATATCTTCAGATTTTACTTCTAATTCTAATTGTTTCTGCCACCACATCTGCAGTTACTTCCTCCACTGAAAATTTGAAACTGTCAAAGTCATCCATAAGGGTTGGAATCGACTTCTTCCAAACTCCTGTTCCGGTGGATATTGTGACCTTTTCCCATGTATCAAAAATGTTCTTAATGGCATCTAGAATGGTCAGTCCTTTCCAGAATGTTCTCAATTGACTTTGCCCAGATCTATAGAGGAATCACTATCTATGGCAGCTATGTTTACAAAATATATTTTTTAAATAATAAGACTTGAAAGTAAAAACAACTCAACACATGGGCTGCAGAATGGATGTTGTGTTAGCAAGCATAAGTATACTAATCACATTGTACATCTCCATCAGAGCTCTTGAGTGACCAGGTGCATAATCAATGAGCATGTTTTGAAAGGAATCTTTTTTCTGAGCAGCAGGTCTAACAACAGGTTAGATACTCAGTAAAGTATTTTGTCAACAGATGTGCTGTCATCCAGGCTTTGCTGTTCCACTTACAGAGCACAGGCAAAAGAGATTCAGCATAATTTCTAAAGGCCCTAGAATTTCCAGAATGGTAAATGAGCATTGGCTTCAACTTAAAGTCACCAGCTGTACTAACCCCTAACAAGAGAGTCAGTCTGGGCTTTGAAGCTAGGCATTGACTTCTTCTCTCTACCTTTGAAAGTCCTAGATGGCATCTTCTTCCAATGGAAAAGTATTTCATCTACATTGAAACTCTGTTGTGTAGTGTAGCCACTTTCATTGATCATCTTAACTAGAACTTCTGGATAACTTGCTGCATCTTTTCCATCAGCACTTGGTGATACCCCTTGAACATTCATCTTAAGAGAGATAGCTTCTTTCCTTAACCCCCATGAACCAAACTATACTAGATTCAACCTCTTCTTCTGCAGCTTCCTCGCCTTCCTCAGCCTTCACAGAATTGAAGAGTTAGGGCTGTGCCCTGGATTAGTATTTGGCTTAAGGGAATGTTGTGGCTGGTTTGACCTTTTATCCAGGACACTAAAATGTTCTCCATATCAGCAATTGAGCTGTTTCACTTTCTTATCATTCATGTGTTCACTGGAGTTAGCACTTTTATTTTCCTTCAAGAACTTTTCCATTGCATTCACAACTTAGCTGACAGTTTGGTGCAAGGGGCCTAGCTTTCAGCTGATCTCGGCTTTCAAGGTGCCTTCTTCACCAATAATTTCTAGCTTTTAATTTTAAGTAAGAGACATGCAACTCCTCCTTTCACTTGAACACTTACAGGCCACTGTAGGGTTATTAATTGACCTAATTTCAATATTATTGTGTCTCAGGGAATAGGGAGGCCTGAAGAGAGGGAGAGAGATGGGGGAATGGCCAGTTAGTGGAGCAGTGTGAACACACACAATATTTATCAATTAAGTTTGCCATCTCATATGGGTGCAATTCATGATGCCCCAAAACAATTACAGTATAACATCAAAAATCACAGATCACCATAACAAATAAAATAATGAAAGAGTTTGAAACGTTGTGAGAATTACCAAAACATGACACAGAGATAAAGGTGAGCAAATGCTGTTTGAAAACTGGGAGCAATACATGTGGTCAGACCCAAGGGGTTGCCACAGATTTTCCATTTGTAAAAAACGTAACATCTGGGAAGCCTAATAAAGTGAAGCACAATAAAACCAGGTGTTCTTATAGGTACAATTACTTGCCGTGAGACCCAGAAAACCACAACTAGAGTCTTTACACAAGGGAATGAAAACATGGACTTAAATATCTATAACACCTTTACCTATGATAGCACCAAACTGATAAGGACCTCAGTGTCTCATGAACAACTGAAAATACACGGCATAGAACAAAACACTACTCGTCAATAAAAAGAATAAATACAGATACACACAACAAACATCCATGAATCTCAACAGAATTAAGCTAAATGAAAGAAGCCATACAAAAAAATAGTACACAACCTTGTATGTGAAATTTCAAAAAAGGCAAATGTATTGAAATAAAAAGTGGATCAATAATTATCAGAAAATGGGTGGGAAGAGAGGACTGACTGAGAAAGGAAAATTTTCATGTGATAGAAATAATCTGTATCATGATTTTGTTGGTACAGCTGTACACATTTTTCAAAATTCACTCAATTATAAACAGAAACTTGCTGAATTTTCTTTTCTGTTAATTATACCTCAATATAGGTAATTTTTTTTAAAAAAAAGAAGCAGCAGAGGGGTTTCCCTGGTGGCGCAGTGGTTGAGAGTCCACCTGCCGATGCAGGGGACACGGGTTCATGCCCTGGTCCGGGAAGATCCCACATGCCGCGGAGCGGCTGGACCTGTGAGCCATGGCTGCTGGTCTGGAGCCTGTGCTCCGCAGCGGGAGGGGCCGCGGTGGTGAGAGGCCCGCGTACTGCAAAAAAAAAAAAAAAAAAAAAAAAAAAAAAAAGAAGCAGCAGAAAATCACATGTACTCTAGGCAGAGTTGCATAATAAAGTAGGCTCACCTGATGAGACAAGGAGGCTGTAGTTCTCCAGCATCACATCTCTGTACAGGGTCTTCTGAGCAGAGCTCATACACTGCCACTCCTCCAGGGTAAACTCCACAGTCACGTCCCTGAATGACACTGATGTCTGTGAAAGCACATTTCTCATCAATCTGAAGAATTCAAAATTAGGTGACATGGAAAATACCTCTGGAAATAATTCCTATCAAGTTTATGGTTAAAAATGTAAGACAAAAACTGAAAATCTTTTCATATTATCAAAAATATCTGACAGTATACTCTTTATATGCAATGTCCTAGGGAAGCAGGCATTTTCATACATTTGGCTCTGCCTTCAAAATCCATTCAAAATTTGATCATTTCAAAGTACAGCTGCTAACATCATCATTTCTTGAAAGGATTACTGAAAGAGCCTGCTAACTCTTCTGTTTTCACCACTGTCTCACTAGAGTCCATTCTCAGAGTTACATTTTAAATTATAAGTCAGGTGATGCCCTTTCTCACCTCAAAATTCTCTAAAACACCTAGTAAACAGAGATAAATATTGAATTCATAGATTAGGAGGTTCAATATGGTGGAGGTATCAGTTCTCCACAAAGAGATCTATAGATTCAATGAAATCATAATTAAAAGCTTACCAGGTTTTTTTAGATTCAGAACCTAATTCTAATATTTATGTAAAAAGGCAAACATCCTAGAATATGAAAACCATTTTGGAAAACAATAAAGCTGGAGAGCTGATATTACTTGATTTCAAGGCATATACCATACAGCCGCCTCTAGATAGTGTGATATTAACAAAAGTGAAACACACAGATCAAAAGAAGAGAAAGTCTAAAAATGCTATATACAAACATATGTGCACACACACATTTCTTTAATTTAGGTGTCTGGGCAATTCAATGGAGAAAGTATATTCTGACAAAAAATCATGCAAGACTAAAAAACTCCATTAGAAAAAAGTAATAACAATAACCTTGATTCATTCTTTGAACCACAAAAAAAAATTCAAAATGATCACAGACCTCAATGAGTCTGCTTTCTGCTTAGATTTTAGAGTCAGGGGAACGTATCACCTATCTAAAAAAAGAAACTGACAGCTGGTTTAATGAAGTGGGAACCAGCAAAATGGTTGAGTGTATGCTCCCTCAACTCAGTATTTAGAATACCTGTACAAATTTCCAACCCATCCTCAGACTCTGAAATTCTAGATTTATGACAGGGCCTACCAGCAACACATTTGGTTGCTTTCTGATCAGCATTCCCTGTATTAAGTAAAACATTTAAATATATGAAAACAGAAATTATAGATATAACAAAACAGATATAAGAGAATACAATCAACAAGGTTATGAAATACATTTAAAAACAGATAAAAATGTACAATTTTCTCTGAAAATGTAGTAATTAAAAAAATAGAAAACCAGACTAGATCTATGATTGTTTAAATAAAGTGATTCAATAATCTACATCTACACAAAAAAGCAGATGTTCTCACAAAGTCCAATTTTAGAGGTAAGTTTAAGGAAATATATAGCAGGTGATTTTCTCATATGAAATAGAGAGAGAGAGAGAGAAAAAGAGAGGAAGGGGGATAGGAGAAAGGAAAGGGGAAGGGAGGGGAGGGGAGAAGAGAAAAGAGCAGGAAAGTGCCCTGAAAAGATGAGCACAACCGAGATACCACATTTGGTCAGGTATACAAGAAAACAAAATTATAGGCTAATCTAGTTTGTCAATACAGGAATAAAAATTCAAATATGATATTAGCAAAAAGATGTCAGTTACAAATTTAAAAACAAAAACAAAAAAACACACCCATGAGCAAGCAAATAGGGTCTACACAGGAATTCAAGAGTAAGTTAATATTCTAAAATCCATTTTAGCTACATCTAATATTTGTAGATTAAAGAAAACAAGCTATACCTTTACTCCAAAAGATACAAAAAGGTGTTCAATATAATTCAGTGTAGATTCATGACTCAAGTAAAATCTTAAACCAATTATAAAAGAGAAATAACTTACACTGATAAAGGATGTGTAACACAAGCTGAGAGCAATCTGAAATCAAGTTAAATCTATCACAGCACAAAGTAGCTGATGAATAAAGAGCTCACCTTAGATATGTTCATTTTTGGTAGTTTTTGGGACAATGTAGAGGACGGTGAAGATTCAGCTAGGGGGACAAAAAGAGCAAAGGGTCAGGACACCTGGCCTGCCTTACAGTTCCTACACTCACCTCCCAATCACATCAGCAGCCCAGCTGAGAAGCAGCCTCCCTTACAGCATCCCTTTAGCCCTTGAAAAGGCAAGGGAAAGACCCTGTGGAAACACCATCTGTCCACCTACCAGTTTGAAATGATCACGGGGCTTAAACCTACCACTCTCATTTGGTAAAAATAATTTTGTCTATTGATGTAAATGGATTTAATTAAATACAAACAAAAAATGAACAACAGATGATTGAAGTACAGCAAAGGATGACACTACTTCGTTAAAATTAACAGTAAGAAAAAGAGACACAGGCTGCATCCTTTATCTATTTTCCTACCAAATCTGTTTACCCCTTGAGTTAGAGAATCCACAGAATGCCCAAAAAAAAGGATGCGGTGCTTTAAGGCAAAGTTTTAAAAATTAGTACTTTCTAGTGGGCTGCAGTTTCTCAAAAGGGACTCTTGATAAGTTTCTTCTGATGACTGAACGGTATGAACGACTGTTCGACTCCTGGCTCTGTCACATGCCGGGTGAGCCTGGAGAAGTCACAGGCGCTCTCAAACTCAGGACCACCTCACCACCCTGAGACTCAGATCAGCTTTTTGCTTAACGTGTGTTTAATGCAGATGCTCATACCGCTATCACGAGATAATTGGGAGGCTTATGTAAACCACCCAATGAAAGGAACAAAGTGTCTTCTGAACAACAACATCTACTGTCATTTTTTCGGCGGTTAGTACCTGGCACTTGCCTCTTTTTCCAAATGACACCACATCGAATTCTCAGAACAACGCCATGAAGCAGGCATTATTCACAGCCTCCTCTGCAGACCTGACTCGTCCCCAGGTTACTTCTTCCGCCCACAGTACCGGTGACACTGCTGTAAGTGACCGGGTCTCTCCCGCTCCAGAGCAGGGCTGCCCAGCACACCCTCCTCCCGCGCTTTCTGGCCCGCTCACGGCCAGCGTGACCACCGCGCTTTCCCTCCCACTGTCCGCCCCGGCGTCCCCCCGTCAGATGCAGGCGGGGCCGGGCATTCCGTCCCCACACGCACCGTCCCCGCTCCTAACAGGTCTCAGCTCCACCTGTCCCCGAGACCACGAGGCCAGAACCGGGATCGCCCCACCCACCTTCCCAGGTCCGAGATCCAGGCCAGACCCGGGCACTGCGGCCCCGCCTGGGCCGGAGGGCGGCCCGCGACGTACCACTTCCGACCCCGCCACAAGAACGCAGCTCTCAGCAAAGCTCCAGGCCACGCGAAGTCCCCGTCCCGGCTGCGCAGTTCTCGCACATGAGATCCCGAGAGAAACGCTCCACAATCTTCCCTTCTCCAGACCTGTGAACTCAAAAGGGAAGAGGCGGGGCCTAAGTTGCACTTGCGCAGAGGCAGCCCCTAGAGACCAGGAGGAAGGTGGAGGGGAGAGACTACGTTTCCCTTCGCTCTCTGCGCGCTCCCTAAGCTGACTTTGAACAGAGCAATCGGTTTCCTGCTGCAGGGTAGAAATATGGGAGAAATGCTTGTCCAAGGGTCCACGGTGCCCAGAGACGCTGGATCGGGTGTGTCACACTGTGGGTCTTAGGCCATCTTCATACCTGGCGTATGTGGAGGTTCAAGGGCAAAACTGGGAAAGCTCACGGCTGAAATCAGATTGTCCAAATTGCTAAATCCTTATAGTCTTGAGTAAATGTCCTCCTAATGGAATAGAATTTTCTGTCTGTGCATTAGTTAACCTACTTGCCATCATGTGGGCTTCCTTTGTAAAGGACAAATAGCGTATTTTTTCAAAAGTGAATTCACCAGTTTATTCATAATGGAACAGATATCTTTTTTCATTTTTTGCAATTTTGAAACCAAGCAGGACCCTGCAGGGCCCTGCTAGGAACAAAAAGCTTTCCCTGTCCCCTGCTTTTTTGCAGGCAAAAGGCTTCAGCCTCCCAGGCCATCCCTGAGTTCCAAAGGGCAGATTCAGACAGTTACTAATAGGGGAAAGAATGGAATGTAGAAGAAAGGTGGAGCAGTCAAAAAACCAATAGTGCAACTATAAAGCAGGGACCTCGTTCCTCCTCAAGGGATATACATAACAACATGTATTTCAGTTCCTCTGAAGGAACTAAGGCCACAAACCGGGGCTGCAACCCCGCTGGAGGATGGTAGCTTCAGGTGCAGCACAAGATTCCTGAACACCACCCTGTTAGCTCACCACCAACCACAGTAACACACCCTGTAGCTCTTGCCTGAAATTTTACCTATAAAAACTCTTACCCCCAAATCACCCAGGAGTTTGGGTCTTTTAAGCATGAGCCACCATTTCTCCTTCCTTAGCCTTTTCAATAAAACTTTATCTGCTCCAAACTTCCTTTTGGTTTCTTTGGCTTCTCTATGCATCAGGCACACAAACTTGCTTTTGGCAGTGATTTTCTACAAAAAAATCCTTGAACTCCAAGTGTTAAAGCTAAATATGACTATATAATAAACTGATAACCCAACCAAGTATGTTTTATGTAGACTAGATGGCCCTCCTTATGACATAGGCCTAGCAAAATACTCAATATACTTTGCAACTTTTCCTACACCTGAAATTCTGGGCTGAGCAAAGCTGTTGAAAAAGTATTATTCCTTCACACTTTATGGAGCATTTCCTATTTTCTTTATCATATATAAATGTGTATTTCAACATTTTGTATTAAATTATACAAAAACACAGGATCCATTTAATCAAAAGAGTAGTGCTTGATGGGATAACTGGATCAACTTCCCACTCTCCATCTCCTTCCCAAATGTAACCAATGTTAACCGGTGCTTAGCTCTGACTTTATTCAGTGCAGACCACTAGAGGAATGCATTTTTCAAAAAGGAATTATTCTTTTCTCTGACTTATTTACAACTTGTTTTGATCCTCAGTTAGGGTATAATCATGTTAGCAGGTCAAATTATTTAGAATTACATCATGCCATTTCTTGGCTGCATGATGTTTATTGGATGGGTATATCTTTTATTTTTAAATAAAAATCTTTTTCATGGATGTTTAGTTTGTTCCAATTTTCACTACTGTAAATGTGCACTATATATTTGTGTCTATACTTCTTTTCATGTTTGCATTATTTCTGCAATACAAATTCTAAAATATAGAATTGCTAAATTAAAATAGATGTGTAAAAGTTGGTAGATATTAACAACAAGCCATCAAAGAGGCTATGCTGGGCTTCCCTGGTAGCGCAGTGGTTGAGAGTCCGCCTGCCGATGCAGGGGACACGGGTTCATGCCCCGGTCCGGGAATATCCCACATGCCGTGGAGTGGCTGGGCCCGTGAGCCATGGCTGCTGAGCCTGCGCGTCCGGAGCCTGTGCTCCGCAATGGGAGAGACCACAGCAGTGAGAGGGCCACGTACCGCCAAAAAAAAAAAAAAAAAAAAAGACGCTATTCTAGTTTATGCTCTCACTAGGATTTGTGAAAGAAAAAGCTGTTCTGACACTTAGTAAAACAGTAAGAAAGAATTTATTCAAGAAGATTGCAGTAGGAGAGAGAGATCAGACTCCAAATACAGCAAAGAAAGGTGGGGATTTATAGCTGATGAGCAAAGTGAGGGAATACATGGGTAGAAAATGACTAGAGGGAGATTTTAAAGGTAGAGGGATTCTTACTAAACCCTAACAGGACCTAACAGGATTCTTGCTAAAGAGAGTCCAAGGGCTTAGATGTCAAAGGTGAGGGATGAAGATCAAGGATGAGGATTCTCTCTAAATTGACTTAGCAGGATTCTTGCTAAAACTGGACTATGTACGCTTGTTAAGGATGGGATGGATACAGAATGCCAAGGTCAAGGCCTAGTGAAAAAGAGACCTTAGAGGAGCCTGACTAACGTTTGGTCAAGAAGGGAGTTTAGGTCAAATTACATGAGAGTCCCAGTTCCACCATCCTTATTCCAATGTTAGATTTTGTCATTCACTGATAGCTATTACAGAGGCTAATCAAATTGACCATTCACATCTACATATTTCCATTGGACATTTTCTTACTGTATGTGTGAGTTACAAGTACCGATTTTTTTACAAATATGTTCTGAAACAACTGTCCTCTTTCTTATTCTGAAAACCAACTTCTATTACATATAAAATTCCATTCGGTACTTGGATCTATTGATAGACTTTTTGTTGTTGCTGTTGTTCTCTTGGTCTATATATTAATGCACCATTTATGCAATATGTTAATTATTTTAGCTTTCTTATAGATTTAACTACCATGTAGTACAAATCATATCTTTGGCTCAATTTTCAGAATTTCTGTAGCCATTCTCAGAAACTATCAGCAAGAGAAACATTAGTATAAGTTTCTAGGGCCAAATCCCTAAAATAATAATGTTGAGGTTCTGATTAGGATTATATTAATACTTATGAATTTAAGTGAGAAATGATATCTTTACAATAGTAAAATAATAATATTATCTGGTTTGTAATAATATAATTCTGGCCACTATATATACTCTCTCTTCTTTAAATCCCTTATGCAGCTTAAGAGCTTTCTATACATGGAGGTATATATAGGTAAACATTTATTAAGTTCTTTCAATTTAAATCTTATAACAGTAAATAAAACACTCTCACATATGGTATAACAAGTAATTATTTGCACATAGAAGAGATGCTGGTTTCGATATATTAACAATGTTTTTCCTTCATTCTCTAATTTATTTTTAAACTAATTTTAATATTAATGATCTTGGACTTTCATGGACATAATGACAAGTTACTCATTTTCAATATTTATCATTATTTGTCCTTCTATTATGGGCTGAGTTGTGCCCCATCCTTCAAATTAATATATTGAAGCCCTAACCCTGAGTACCTTAGTATGTAAGTATTGGGTTGGCCAAAAAGTTTGTTGGGGTTTTTCCACAGGATCTTATGGAAAATCCCAAACAGACTTTTTGGCCAACCAAATATATTCAGTTAGGGCCTTCAGGGAAGTAATTAAGTTAAAGCCAGGCTGTTAAGGTAAGCTCTAATCCAACCTGCCTGGTGTTCTTATAAGAAGCTTTGGATACACAAGGAGACACAAAGAATGCATACATACAGACAAAAGACCATATGAAGATACAATAAGAAGCCAACACTAAGAAAGTCCTGGAGATCTAAAGAACAGTATAGTGAATATAAACAACAGTACTGTATTACAGTCATCAAACTTGCTAAAAGACTAGATCTTGATTATTCCTACCACCAAAAAGAAATAATAATTATGCGACATGATCAAGGTGCTAATTGTCACTACAATGGCAATCATACTACAATACATAAACCTATCAAATCAACATCTTTTACATCTTAAATTTACATTATGTTATATGTCAAATATATTTCAATTCAAATTAGGAGGTGAACATTTGCAAGCCAAGGAGAGAAGCCACAGAAGAAACTAAAATTACTGACACATGATTATGAATTTCTAGCCCCTCAGACTGTAAGAAAATAAATTTCTGCTGCTTAAACATCCAGTCTGCACCATTTTGTTAAGGCAGATATAGCTAATAACTAATACAATTTCTCTAATGAATTAAAAATAATTAGCACAAAAATGCTGGTGGAGCTATATTAAATAAGCCATAATAGACCATAATGTAAAGATTACCAATAGAGATAAAGTAGAGATAAAGTGTATGTGTATATATATACACACACATACGTATATATTTCCTATATTATACATGTTATACGTAAAATATCTTTTATGTCTATTGATAACCTGCTGTGTGACAACTATTATTCTAGATGCTGGATTGGCAGTAGGGAAAAAGAAATTAAAATCCCTCTACTCTGCTCTTGGGTTTGTGTTCAGGATTGGTGTGGGGAACCTATTAGTTGGAGTCACAGCAAGAGAGCAAGGGAGTATGACAATAACCTGACAGAAGTGGCTACCAAATTGGTGCTGCTCCCTTAAGTTAAAGTGTTTGGTCACAGCCGGCCCTTCATTCAGGACGAGATAGTCCAAAGATGAGTCTTGCTCTCATCTCACTTAACAAATCTTAATGGCAAAACACAAAGAGATCAAACCATTTACAAACAACATATATACATCTCAGAACCAAGCTGAAGAATAGTTATATGACTGAAAAATATCCACCACCGAACGAGTCTAAAATCTAATTAAAAATGAACAGATTGGGGCTTCCCTGGTGGTGCAGTGGTTAAGAATCTGCCTGCTAATGCAGGGGCCATGGGTTCGAGCCCTGGTTCAGGAAGATCCCACATGCTGCAGAGCAGCTAAGCCTGTGCGCCACAACTACTGAGCCTGTGCTCTAGAGCCCGTGAGCCACAACTACTGAGTCTGTGTGCCACAACTGCTGAAGCCCACGCGCCTAGA